CAACATCTGAAAACCGGGCGTGTCCATGAAGAAAGGATCGCTTCCGCCGATCCTCTCCGTCAGGGAAGAACCGATGGAAGAAGTCCGCGAATTTTGCGAGATTCGGAGGGGCGTATCTAGAATCTGGCATGAACAGTGCCGTCCTAGCCCAGTAGGATCCGAGCGCGCAGGGAAACACGGCGCTGGATGGAAAGGCCTCGTCGCCAGGAGAGGAGGACACTGGACTCGTCACTTGTCAAGTTGTTGCTCGCGTCGCGGTCGCGGATCTGCCGGCGGGGCTGAAAAATAAGCTAAAATACTGTTCCGACTGATTATTGTAAGAGAAAAATACTGTTCTGTCTGGAAACACTGTTCAGCCGAACAGTGCCCGTGTGAGTGCGCGCCCTAGCCCCAGCCCAGCCGCCCAGCCAGCCGAACGCAGCCTGGATGATCGGATCCAGCGGCAGAGCGATTGAATGCTGTACCGGCCACCTGTCGCCTGCATAGCTGGAACCGCAGCAGCTTGACTCGCGGCGGTCGCCGGTCGGGGCCGCGCTTCTCAATTAACGGGTGTATGATGCATGGACTAAAGTTTGACGAGGTCAAATGTCATATGAGGTGTCGTATGAGTATTCGTATACTAATAGGGGGTGTTTGGATACAGGGACTAAACTTTAAGAGGCGTCACATCGGATGTCATATGGGGTGTCGCATAGGTTATTCGTATACTAATAAAAAAATAAATTACAGATTCCATCGGTACTCCGCGATACAAATCAATTAAGCATAATTAATCTATTATTAGAACATATTTACTGTAGCACCACATTGTTAAATCATAGGCTAATTATGTTTAAAAAATTCGTCTTGTAAATTAGCTTCAATCTGTACATTTAGTTTCATAATTAATCTATATTTAATACTCCATATGATAGGCGTTAAACCATAGCATGAGTAGCCAAACACCCCATAACAGCGCCGCGCCCGCGCCCGCGCGCACAGCCAGAGCCGGCGGAGCGCAGCGTGCGTGGCTGTGGGCAGTGTGCACGGCCAGGCTACCGCGGCCACGCGGAGAGGTGCACGGAGCATGATCAGCATGTTCATTTCATCGTAAACGATCCTAGGTTATTTACTGCTGGCTGATTTAGCGTGAGAGAAAAATAGTGTGCGGATGGCAGGGCGCGATCCAACAACTGTGGCGGCGGGGCCGACCGGCCGAGCAAGGAGAGCGCCACACAGACGTGTGTTTCCGAGTTTTCACAGCGGGCACGGGAAAGGCAGGAGCAGCAGATGCGCCAGGCCGCCAGTTGGTACATCTATGTCGACCGTCGCGACTGAGGGCCCACGTACGTATACTGTATATACGACGTGCACTTGTCTTAGAAAAAATATACTGAACGTATTAATGAGAATATACGATGATGCATATGAGAAAAAAAATGCTTTGTTACCTTGGTAGCAATGATGTTTTAATTCGTTATTAGTGTGCCACACTTATGTTCAGTTGTGATGAATCATACATGAGTATAAGGCCATGTTCGGATCCACAGGGCTAAGCTTGATCCATAGGGTTATTTGGATCCAAAAGCTAAAGATTAGCCATGTAATCTATCATGACTCATTTGCTCCTAATTAATACTTATGCACATGACTAAAAATGAGGTGGGTAGGGGTAATATGCGTTTTTTGTCATGAATGAACCACTTTTAACCCTCTTTAACCTATCTTGAAGGGGCTAATGAAAAAAAGATAGGCTAAAGTTTACCCTCACTTTTAACCCTCCTGTTTAGATCCATGATGATTAAAAGATGACTAAAATGGATGGGCTAAACTTTAGCCCTTTGGATCTAAACAGGGCTAAGCAGACGAGCTTTTTTGAAAATAAAATCACCTACTAATTACATGTTAGCAGAAGGGGGATTGGGAAATCAGAGGAATCGGAGTTGGTGATAGGCAGCAAGCAGTAACGAGGAACAGAGGAAGAGTGCTCAATTAGAACAGGGTAAATGTTTACAAATTCATCGATACCCTCATCCTCCCTCGCAACATAGTCTTATCCTCTCTTGCTCTCATTGCTACAGCTAGCTGTTGGACCACGTTGGGCCGAAGTATCGCGGGTTGGGTTTCATGGGTCGGCGCACTCCTGGGATCGACGACCCGGCCTGTTCCAACGAGCCATCCTCGAGTCGGCGCTCTCCTGGGCTCGACGACTCAAGCGGCTCCCGCTGCAGCTCTTGTGGTTGGTGGCTTGGGTTAGCAGATGTGCTAACATTACATCAAATTTATATCTCTTCATTATCAAAAAAGTATATATCTCTTCTATTATATAAATGAAAAAGTTAAAGGACTCCATCCACCTGACTTCCGTGTGCGTGCGTGTGACTACGGCTAGACGGAAAACTCGTAGCTTGTTTGGCTCAGTGCTAATTCGGCTCGGTTCGTTCACTTTTCTCAACGAGCATGTTCGTTGGTTGATTTCTGGGCTGATAAGCCCGGCTGGTGCTGGTTTGTTGTTAGAGGAAAACACTGTTGACTGACTAATAAGTCCTGGCTAAAACCAACAAGCGAATAAGCTGAACAAGTCGAGCTAATATTTTAGCTCGTTAAGTTAATGAGCTAGCTCGAACTAGATCGCAAGCTAGCTCGCGAACTAAACGAGCTAATACTTTGTAGTTGGACAACCTAAACTACTAACAATCAATCTTAATTTTAAAAAGAATTTAAAAAAAAATTGGTGGTCGACGGCTTGACGCACCAAGGCTCCATCAGCAGATTCAGCACTTCAGCAGCCCACACCACCGATACACCAAACTCTTTTGGTGCTCGACGGATCGACGCACCGAGCCCCTCCTTGCTTCTGCCTACTTACGCAGTTATTAGGGCGTGTGTGATCAGGCAGCTGTCCATCCAGGCAATCTGAACCGAGGTTAGAAAAATCCCAGTACCTGAGAATCAGGCCTTGCTTGCTAACATGCCAAGTACAGGTCTGAACCTCAGGCCAACAAAATCTAACGCGTGGACATCTTGTTTGGGCCAGTTTTTAATCCTTCAAGCAAACAGGCCCTCACTGTCTGGATCGGGCTTTTCAGTCTTTGAAGCAAACAGGCCCATAGGGGGCGGCACTCCACATGACGCAGATCCGGTTGCCTAGGTGATGCGCCTGCGGCCCATTGGTCGGGGGTAATTGAAAGCCCGGAATGAAAATTTAGAGACGGAGTTTATAAATCTTTTGTTTGTTCGCATGAATGGGAGTTTCGGTGAAAAGGGAAAGGAGAGTTTACGGCTCGTTTGGTTGGAGGTAATAGGAAGCAGGAATGGAAATTTAGAGATGGGAGTTTACAAATCTCTTGTTTGTTTTGCGAGAATGGGAGTTCTGATGGGAAGGGGAAGGGGAGTTTAGAGGGTCAACTCCCACTAATCAATTTCCTAGAGGAGGGGTGGGAATTGTGTTCTTAATCAAAGAAAAGTAGATCCGCAAAGTCCATCATGATTTGCCTTTTAATTTTCCCCTCAAAACCTCCATACCAAACAGGGGATATGAATTCCCTCTTCAATTCCCCTTCTTATTTTCCTTCACGAACAAAATAAGAGATCGGAACTAAAAGTTAATTTCTCACCTTAATTCACTCTATCAACTCCCACCACTAATTCTCATGCCTCTTCTCACGTAGTTGCCAAACACACCCTTAGAGGGAAAACTCCCACTGATCAATTCCCTAGGAGAGAGGTGGGAATTGGGTGGGAGTTGTGTTCATAATAAAAGAAAAGTAGATCTTCACCGTCTATCATGATTTGTCTTTTATTTTTTTCCTCAAAACCCCCACACCTAACAGAGGATATGAATTCCATCATCAATTTCCTTTCTTATTTCCCTCCATGAACCAAACGAGGAATTGAGAATAAAAGTCAATTTTCCACCTCAATTTCTTATATCAACTCTCATCACTAATTCTCATGTCTCTTCCCACACTGTTGCCAAACACACCCCTAAGGCCAACAAAATCTAACGCCTAGAAATCTTGTCTGGACCGGTTTTCAATCCTTCAAGCAAACAGGCCCTCACTGTCTGGATCGGGCTTTTCAGTCTTTGAATCAAATAGCCCTATTACGCCGGCCGTCTCCAATGCAGCATCAGGAGAGGCGGCACTCTACATGACGCAGATCCGGTTGCCGGTGGTGCCAGATCAAGCGATCTTCGTCCCCGCAGTCAATGTTAGGCTCCATTTAGAACCACGGTATCGGTATGCGGTGCAGTTCAATCCTGGAGTTTTCTCTTCATGGGCGGTCAGCAGAAGTACGGTCGCCACAAGACGTTTGGCATGATTTTTTAGATTCCCATCGCCGCTGCTATGAAATACTGTAAGCAGAAACAAACACGCCCTAATCCCCAGTTCACCGCTACGGTCTCCGTTCTGCAGGGGATGATCTGTCAGCGCGTACTTCAGACTCCACGGTCTGAATGTCTGATCACTGATCAGGCTCAGCTGCTAATCCATCCACTTCCAGACCTGTGGTAGTGTGGTGCCACTGCCTCCTGAATCCTGATGGGATGAGGGAGAGAAACCATAAAACCAGCACCAATCAGTCAATCACTGTTTTGAACCCCTGATGAAGACACCGATTGATTAACAGATACTACAGGTTTTATGGCCATAGGACTATGGGAGAATGCAAAGAAATATCAATCCAGCTCGCCGAACATCATTATTATACTGATGAAAATTACAGATGCAGATGGTAATCTACCGCCTCTTTTGAGCTAATACTGCACTCAACCACTCGAGTCTTGACCTGTTTCTAAGTCCCCTATTCTCCACCTGTTTAACTAACACTACAAAAAAAAAAAAAAACAGGAAAGGCTTTACATTCATGCAAAACTATCAGAATGCAAGGGAAAAAAAACAAAAAGAATATACAATGGGCTTTCAGGTAAGGATGGCCAGGAAAAAAGCTAGCCATCCACATTTGAATTGCCTCTTAGTTTCATCTTGCAGGAGAGGTGCAAGGCCAACTTTGCCGAACTACTCGCAGACTATGTTCGCCTTCTCAGGCTTGTACCCTTTAGGATATATAAATACGGAGTCAACGCACAGGCCGCCTTTCGTATGTGTGCAATCGATCTGCATCATCGAGAACTTGAGTTTGATGGGCTCATCAGAGTCTGATACGACAAAATCACCAACATGGTAAAGCTTCCAGCCCCCTTGTTCATATAGATGCAGATAATATTCTGATGTGGCCTGCTGCCCATCAGAGGTTGTGAGCTGGAACCGTGTGGGCGTGACATCCCACCCGTGCACATGCTCAGTTCCACAAAGCCGACGACCCATGCGCCTATAGGGTCGACCCAGGTGAAGATGAAAAAAAACGCTGTAGGCACCATCAGGAAAGCAGAACTCAAGCTCCCCATCTACCTCAAGCCACCAAATCTGCTGAAGATAGGCAACACTATGGAATCTGCGATATCATAAAAGAAGCAACTCATCAATCAGACATTCACCAGAAATCTGTAAAGCATATGTACAGTTTGTGCCAAAAATGATCCAACAAACGAATGTACACAGTGTTCAAAGTGTTCCATTTTCATAGATATATCAATAAGTGGATAAGAAATGCAGCAACAATCACATGCAAGAACCTCATAGGCAATTCTTACGATCATGTTCTCCAGTCTCCATCTCATATGCTAGAGCGATGTGAATTCCTACATACAAGAAACAACAAAGTATCTTCCACAGGAGTACTTGGTAATCTTCTAAAACACAGGCACACTCAACCAAAAAGTAGGAGATCAGGTAGGAAACAATAGTAGAAAGAATGAGGCTGCAATAAGAATTGCCAGTTTTTAGAAATAAGGAAAGCACAAACACCTTTCTAGGGCACTGAAATTATCTGCTCTGCTGCATCCTTAACTAAGGATCACGATTCATAAACCATAATGAATGGTTTCACTACTTCATCTCAAATGGCCTAGAGCATACCATGCTCTATAAAATGGAAATCACACGGATCCAAAACCATGTTAAAGAACAATTGGTGCAGAACAAGTCGATTTCCTATAAAAACTATTAACAGGGCTTTCTTTTTATTATTGATGAGCATAGAAGAACTGAATGGCGATAAGATACACTGAAATGATCAAATGAAATGTTCATTTGCTTACGACTTCTGCAAAAGGCATGTTTGTGAGAATTTTGGTGAAAGTTTTTTTTCCCCATTTTCACCAATTACTACGAATGATTTTTGACCAATTCGAAGTTTTGCCTGCTCATGATAAGCTAATCCCCGAGGACAACTAGCGCAGTCAATTGGCAAACAAAAATTGCAAAGAATTTGGACTTGTCGGCCAAGTATATAACTTAGCCAACAAGGAATTGTATTTACAATCATGCAAAAGAGTAAATAATAGTTATATCAGTTTTTAGGTTTGAACTAACGTGTGTGAGAATGAACATTTGTCTGTTTAATGCCAAAACCTGTGAAAAGTGGAACATAAAACAAATGAAAGGAAGTAACAAGAGTTCAACAGATTTTTAATATGATTTTTGGGGCAGCTAAATGAAAAAAAAAATATCACTCAATAACTCTTGACAATAGTGCTACAAAACCCGAACTAAAATTGAAACTTTGAAGTGGTTGCAGCACTAACAATATAATGGAATGGGATTCATACATAAAGAGAAGCTATACAAAACAACAGCCTCAAGAAAGAAGTACCTTGATTCCTCTGTGGCAAGGTGACTCCAGTACCTCCGATCATCTATCCCGGTAATAGTCATCGCCTTTGATGATATACTGATGCAAAGACCTCCCTTGTTCTTCAGAATCCAGAATTCCTAAAATGGACAGCATGAATGACTGAGTATTAAGCAAAATAGACAATCTCAAGCAGACACGAGGCTAATAACAAAACCGCGTCCATAGAAGATCAGCCCTAACAAACAAGCATAATACCTCCAGAGGAATGGAGGAATGATCAAATGAGTTACCTTTGTGCCGGCATCAAAGAGGGTGGGTCGGCACAGGCGAGCGTAAATTTCCTTCTTGGTCGCCGCAAGGGAGAAGCGCTTGCCATTGGCATCCCCATCGCCACGGCCCTCGTCATCGGCGGCCGCGGCTAGGGCCGCGAGGTAGCGGTAGTTGGCGGGGAGCTTGGCGGCCCAGACGCAGTCCGCGGAGGCGGCGCCGCGGAAGGCGCGGTTGAGGCGGGCCACCTGGCAGATCTCCGGCGGGTCGAGGTAGAGGAGCACCGCCGCCACGCAGCTCTCCGGCATGTCGCCGAGGGACGTCTCCCCCCACTCTCCGTCCGCGCCCAGGATGCTCGACCCCGCCGCCCCCATCTACGGCCCAATCACCGTCTCGGGAAAGGGGTTGAATTGGGGATGGGAAGGCCGAGGCCTTCAGAATCACTTCTTCTGAACCAAAAGATACGAACCTTCCAAGAAGCCGCAAAGCAGTTCACCGCCGGGATGGCATGGCACCAACCGAATTTGTGCGAGGCAGCCTCCTCGCGCGGATAGCTGCAGCTTCCTTGCGAATTTGGCTTACGCCTTCCCGATTCGGGAAGAATCCTCCAATCTGCACCACCCTTCAAGATAAGAACCGAACAATTGTAGCCAAGAAACCGCCAATTCGCCTTATATGCACGTGAGCGCGGCTGTACCAGACTACCAGCCCGATTCGATCCTCAAAGCGCGCAAAACCGAACCCCAAATGCTCCAAATCTCCAGCAGTTTTGCCCTCAATCCGCGCTAAAAAACTGAAAATTTTACTGGAAAAGAACTCGAATGCTCCAGAAGTCGACCTCAGAGCGTATCGCTTCCTAGCACGATCTTTTGTTGTAATGGAAAACGGGGACGCGCTGGGAGGTGACACGGAGATTAGATTTTTCGAAGGGCCTTTTAAAGGAGACTGGGTCCTTTCCTCTGATCCTTTTCTGTCTCCTCCATCCCCCGTGTCTGCTGCTGGTGTAGATACAGACCATACGGTAGGTAGCAGACCTAACCGACCGTATATAAAATACTCCTTGCATCTGTATTACTCTTACTTACGGATACAGTTGCATCGGATAATGTTGAATAATTTTTTTATTGCCTGTCATCTGTGTGTATAGCTGTAGCAACACACGCACGCCCACACAACCGGATACCGTGAATGGGCCCGTTCGGCTTACTGAATCTTGGCTGAAAAACACTGTTTTAACTAAAATGTTGTGAGAGAAAAACACTATTCTAGTTGAAAAAAGAAGCCGAACAAGCCAAACAAGGCGTAATCTCCATCCATCTAAATGTGGACGTCTGGGTTAGTACTAATTTGGTAATTTCTTAAGCCACCATCCGACAGGTAAGCTATATTTGGTGTAAATTGAGTGTTTATATCTGAATTTTTATTAAAAACAGTATGTCTGAACTATCCAAATCTGGTCCAGCCAGATCAGTTACCGGAAAACATGCCCGACGAGCTTATTAATAAGACCCTATTTAGATTCGTTGTAATTATAATAATCAACTAATAAAATAATTTAATTATGATCTAAAATGGTTTAATTTATAGGGTGAATTATTATAATCAAAACCTCATGTTACAATAGTTCTTGTTTGGTTCCACCTACTAAACTTTAGTCGATGTCCCATCATATGTACGGACACATGTATGGAGTATTAAATATAGATTATTTACGAAACTAAATGCACTGATTGAGACGAATTTATTAAGCCTAATTAATCCATGATTTGACAATATTGTGCTACAGTAATCATGCGCTAATGATGGATTAGTTAGGCTTAATAAATTCGTCTCACGGATTACTGAGAACTTCTGTAATTTATTTTTTTATTAGTATTCGAACACTCCATGTGACATCCGATGTGACAACTCTTAAACTTTAGTCCCTGCATCCCAACACCTCAAACCAACAATAACCACCACAATAGTCTAGGGATCCAAACACTCTGATTATTATCCATAACGCAAATATAATAATTTATATCATAATTCAGATTATAAATAACCGGTTGTAATCCAAATAGGTCCTAAATAACCAAGCTTTCAAACCCAACAAGATAAAGTAATTAGGTTAATTTCAGTTCATGGTATCATATTCCCGCATCCATCTGCTACGTCACAAAGAAATTACTAAATACTTAAGTTGAAAAAAAACTCTACAATATATCATAGTAGCTAATTATTTTATATGATATGTCCATAAAAGTAGATCCAAACTATTTAAAATAATGTTGAACAGGTCGATTTCGTGGTAAATTAAGGAGCGGTTTGGTAGAATTTCTCTTTCTGATTCTTGAGCTCCACTTATTGATTCTCCGATGGAGTAATTCTGGTGGAGGAGCAGGATGGGCAGTAGGTTAGAATCAATTCTTAAGTGATTTAGTGGTGATTGAATGAGTAGTAGTGGGAAGCGGTGGAGAGCGGTTTTTTAGCTTTCAGTTTGTAATGTAAATGGAAAGCGATTCTTGTTAGCTTATCACTAAAATCCAGTTGCATTTTTTTTAGGAATCCACAAAATTTGTTTCGAAGAAGCTGGGAGTGGAGCTCTGCCAAATTGGTCCTAAGTTGTAGATGTTAGGATAGTCCCAAATCCAGAAACTCTGACCTAGTTTCTATACTTGTGAAGTCATGTCGATCCTACACGCAAAAATCATATTCGCAACAGATGGTTTATTTAAAATATTTTTTTATATCCAATAACATGTTTTCTTTCTCCTATCATCTGCTTATCACATATCTTTGTATCTTGATTCTCATGTAGACGTATCTTTTTTCTCCTATCACCTACTATCCTTCTCTTTCTCTTAATTCTAATAACACATCATCATTTTTCTTATCTGGTACCTTAATTAGTGACCATAGAAACCATCCTGGTTTAATTATGGGTTAGGATTGCCCTTATAACTTCGTTCTTTCTTCTAAATATCTCGTTATCACTTAAGCAAAACATCCTACATGACATCTAACAAATGTGTATGTTACAGTCTATTGGGAGTATGTGTTCTTGAAAAAAAAAAAGTAATATGGACATACATACACCTCATGAGTACATTCAAGTTGAGGGACGTGATGGCATACGATGATACGACGCTGAAAGTAACTACCCAACGATATAAATAAATAAAACAGAGGATTAAAGCGTGACAGCTTGGTAACGAAAACGTTGGATTGGCTGAAACAAGCCGGTCTCAACCGCCAATTGTTTGCTCGGATCGTGTCTGCTGCCGCTAATCAGGGTTTAGCGATGACTTTGAGGTTCAGCTTGCTTTGTGGACCCGCTATACTATACTCCTGGGCTCGGGACGCATGTTCTCTGCCGATTACGTGGTGCGTGTTGCGCGGCCGCACTTATGTACAAAAGCAACTGGTTTGTCCGGTGCTGGTACCGGTAAGGGCACTCCAATGCAAGAAAAATTTCTATAACAAAGACAACTTACTAAGAAATTATCCTCTAAGTATAAGATTTCCTACGGTATATAACATAAGTAGTGATATAAACCATATTTACTCTCCCAATGAGTTAAAGGTAGTTTCTTATCCATCGATAACTGTGAAGACTTAATTTTTTAGGTAGACCTGGTTTTTTGGATTTTTCTCTCTCCTCGTTAAATCACTTGCCATATCTATAGATTGTCTACGCGGCAGTGCAATTAATATCTATAGAAATTACTCTAGTTTCTACACTGTGAGACACTCCCAATGCAGACTTCAACTTAGTTTCTATCTATTTATTACTCATCTATTTATCAAATTTTACTAATGTGACACTATATTTATTTAAGGACACTCCCAATACAGACTTCAACTTAGTTTTAATGTCTATTTATTACCTCTCTATTTATTGAATTTTACGGACGTGAGGAAAAAAAACAAGAAACGACCCTCCGAGTGTTCGCGCTGACACGAAGAGGAAGAAATCGGCGATATTTGCGTTCGGAGGACCGACCTCGTTTCCATCTTTACCCTGCAGATCCCGTGCGCCCGAGCCCCCGCGCAGGCTCGCCGGTTCGCGCCGCGTCCGCGCAGGCTCTCCCCGTGATGGCTCGCCAGTCCGCCGCCGCGCCGGCTCGCCGGTCCCAACAGGCTGCCCCGCCGGTCTCGCCGCGTCCGCCTCTGCTCGCACTCCTAATCTCGTTCCTCTCCACCGTCGAATCGTTCGGCGCATAGCACCACCCCCGAGCCGTCGTCGCAGCTCCGGCATGTCATCAAGTACGACATCGACGGTGCCGACAGCCAAGACACTGGCCGGAACCAGACACGGCCACCTTCCAACAACGCAGTTGCAAACAGGCTAGAGAAAGGGATCGAAGATGAGTGCCCGCCGCACGTAGCGATGCTGGTGACGCCGGGATGGAGCACCTGATCCCGCCTCGCGTCACGAAACCATGGCGACACACGAAGGAACCTGCTGACGGCGGGGACGCCAGATCGGAAGGCGGCAAGGGCGATTTCACCGGCAGGGCGGCGGGCGGGTCTTCTCCGTCGCCTCGGACTACTTCACCTAGCCGGCGGAGCTTGCCGGACCTGCCTCGGGACCCTGCGCGCCGCCGCTACCCAGCGTGGCCGCCCGCTCAGCAAGGCCACCACGGAGCTCGCAGGCTCGCCGCAGACCTTGTTCGCCTCGCTCGCCGTGCGGCCGCGGGATCTTGCGACACCGCCGCAGACCACGTCGAGCAGAAGCGGCGAGGACGCGGCCGCTCCTCCGCGTGCCGGGGCAGGCGCGGGCCGCTCCTCCGCCGACGGCGCGGCTTCACTCTGGCCTCTGGAAGACGCTCGCCTCACGCGCGGCCGCTCGCGGCCCGCCTCGCCGTGCCGGCTCGCTAGTCCTCCCATCCCCTCTTGGCTCGCTGGTACCGTGTGGTGTGGTTTGCACATAGGATCCTAGACGAGAGAGAGCAAAACGGTGAATGATTGGTTAATATTTTATTAGGACACCATGAGAAAATTTTGTATTGGAAAACATAGTTTCTTAATGTCCTATGTTTTATAAATAGTCGTGGTCTCTTACATTATGAGTGCCCTGGGGTTTCAACGCTCCGCATGAGTAAAAATCAGTACTACGTGGAACGTAGTGTTATGCACATGCATCGCATCGGGTATTGGAACATGAACAGAGGAACTGAAAGCGAGTGCTTTCTAGAGTTACAGGAGAAACTAGCTACGCTACGGGGACGGACTATGACTAGTGTGCGAAGCTAGCGTACACGTCCAAGTCCAACCTGTGCCGCTAAAATTAAGGAACTTTCTTAACAAGAAAGTTGTATATATTTATATTACTCTAGGGGGTGTTCGGCTGCCATTGTTGCGGAAAAATTTGGATGGTTTGGAAGAATTCTGAAGAAATTTGCGAGAGAAAAATACTGTTCCAGATGGAGAAAAAAAATAGATTAAACCGAATTTAAGGGCACACGAACAGAACATAATAGTCCAATGTAGATGGTCCTTTCTAAAAAAAAATAGTCCAATGTAGATGGCTAGTAGTATACGACCTGTCGAGATCAAGCAGTTGAGGGCCGCGCCAGTTGTGCTTGTGCCAATGACAAGATTGCGAAATCATCCTCGTCTTGCATTCACGCTTGAACTCGACACCGGGTTAGGGAAGCTCTTTTTTATTTTTTTTATTTTAAAAAGGGTAAATTTTGATCACATGTTCTCGTGTGATTCACCGTTAGATTTCTACCTTCCCCTCATAAAATTTGTATGTGTGAAAAAAAAGAAATATGTCTACTTGTCTCTTACTTTGCGCAAAATTCGAAGCATGTCCAATGGTAAGATAAGGGTAATTTTCCTGCATTTGCTAGCTGCCACATGGTAGTAGGCTAGTAGCATGCAGTGGTAGAGGTTGAACACAATTGTGGTCCTGTCTGGACCCTCCAGTTTTTAACTATCTGTTTTTTAAAAACGGGGTGAAATTCAAATAGACTATTTTTTTTCTAGTTTCTTGTGTCAATTTTTGCCAGGTTTTTATAAAAACTAAGAAGCTGTTGGTACTCAGCTTTTGTTAGTTTCTTATGACCTTGTGAGCAATAAATAAAGCTATATTCTTAAAAATTGGAGGATCCAAATACCTCTACCGATTTTTGCTCAGAATCTAGATTTTAGAAACTAGAGGTAAAAACTGGTTTTTAAGAATCTGAAACTCAACTGTGTGTGTGCCGGATGCGGAGTGTCATACTCACATCAAAATAGAACGGTGCGTGCACAGTGTTGCTTCTTCTTCGATCCTGTAGCTGGAGAAGAGAACAGTACAACACAAAACCAGATAGCTCCCTTGTCTCCCACCATCCTTCATCAATCAATAACCCAGCAGCTTCCTCGTCGCCATTCATGCTATTGCACCCATGTCACATTAGGTTGGGTTCGTTGTCATGTGTCCTTGCATGCTTCTCGTGCATGCACCAGCTGGCAGCTGCTTCGTCCCCACCGTCCGCGGTTAGCCCCGGTATCCACCTTCATCGGCGGACTAGAGCCTGTGCCACCTCTCCCTCCAATTTGGCGAGGATCGAAGAAATTTGAAATAGATTGAGGAGGATATAAAATTCAAAATGCCCTAATAAACTTCTAATCCCCTTTAGATCTTATTTGAATGCACTCATATTCACCTTAAACCACATGTATTATGGTAGATGAGGATAGAAAATTAATAAATTATCATCACAATTATCTCTAACACTACTAGAATCCTCATGTTTCCCTAGGCCTAACAGCCTGTTCGTTTGGCTGTGACTTGTTGTAAATGATCGTAAATTTTCAGCCGGAACATTATTTTTCTCTCACACAAACCAGCCAACAGTACTCCTTCACGAACCAGCAACGAAATGAACCAGCCAACCGAACATGCTGTAAAACCCTAGGGAAAGGCATAGATACCCCTAGGGTGGTTCCTCAGGATTGCTGCTTAGGGAACGATTTCACGGGAAATTGGTAAGTGCCCTAAGGTGTTGCGAGAAAACCCTAGGAAACTGTGTTCCCTAGGGGAATTTCGCCCCTAGGGACATCTGCTAACATGCCATTCTCCTACCCACATGTAAAGGTAAATTTCCTAGAGGGTGAGTTTTGTGGGGAGCAAACAATATGCAGTTCATACCATGAATAAACAATATACATTTAAATTCAAAATTTTGAATTCAAATACAAATTTAAATATAGCACAGTACACATGCATTGTTTCCATCAGGATTTAACATTCATTAATCCATATTGTTTTAAGTTACAATATCTCATTAGAGGCACTAACACAAACACACTTGTGCCATCAAAATGACCAAACTGCGGCCCGCGGCTACTGCTACAACAAACACCACTGCTGATACTGTTGATACACTGAAGAAAACCAGTAGCAACAGCTGCAGCCGCTGCATAAGTAGCAGCAGTGAGCAGACCCTGAACTACTACGACACTACACTGTGTAGGCAACGAGTAGCTCTGCTGCACAGCAAAGCCAAAGCCCAAAACAACCAAAAAATCAGAAGCGAGGTCAGTAGGTTTTAAGCCTGTGATCCTTACATTACATGTCAAAACAATGGAAATTCATCGTCATCTTCATCTTCAGGACAGTATGTACCGCCACCACTTGTGGCATTCACATGACAACGATAGCCTCCGTAAGCGATCCTACTCAATGTTTCCTCCGGAGTTTCCATTCGAACAGATGATCCAAGTGCACCAATCTGCTATGCAATTAAACAAATGAGAATGCAACTAGATAAGCATAACGGTTATGATTTCATTCACTACTTATCTCTATGTCCATTTGTCACATGCAAGTTCTGTACTGGAAGTTTTTGAGCTACTATTTTGTGATGTTATTTGGTTTTGTATGTTTTATTTTAGCTCACCATTGCATAAAGGCACTTGATAGAAAAGCTGAGCCATGCATGACTAATTATTTTGCTTTTCATTTATAATTTGCATATAGGTCACACAGTTATAGTTGATGACACGCAACTCTCCTGCGTGTTCTGAGAAAAAAATGATTTTTTCTGAAAAAGAAGATAGCAGCTACCATGCGCTCACTGGTGGAGCTTCACATAAATATTAGAGGGCACCAACACTCCAACGGGTGGTAAAATAAGTGGAGTCACAGTGTTTAAGCATGGACTAACTAAACTCAGAGAATATACCAATTTAAGGGAGCAGCAGGTCACACACTACTAGTAGATGATACTAATCTCTTTCTGAAAAAGATGATACTAGTTACGTTGTTACTTTTTTTAGATGAGCAGTACTAGGGCCAAGAAAAGCCATAATGACCATTAGACTTTGCAATATGTTTCCTTTAAAAGGATTTTGCATTAGGAAGACTGAGGGGTAGGATGATTCTAGAAGTAATGTACTGGGGACTACCAGGACAAGATTAAACTGCAATACATTTTTCCACTATGAACCATCAGAAACTCAAAAGAGCATCTTATTAACATATTCTGAGAACAAAACCAAAGGAGCATTTTCAACACAAGGCAATCATCCCTAAGTATCTCCCAGCCAATCAGTCACAAAGCACCAGGACAAATTATACTATAGTATCAGATGTTTAGATAAGTATTTAGAGAAACTACAGCAATTAGTACCTTTTATAAAAGTATATAACTTGAAAGTGAGGCAGTACGTCCATACTCTGAATCTGAGTCCCCAGTCCAACCATATAAGGACCAAGAAAAGCCATAATGATCATCAGACTTACATTGTCAAGAGAGAGATTTGGACTTGATGAAGCCACATATGCTGAAGGCGGTGGAGGAGTAGCTTGGGGAGAAGGGACTGTAGTGGCAGGCATTCCGGTGTGGGAAGCAACTTGCTGCAGTTTAGTTTCTATAAGACTCACCTAATTAGAAAGGAGGTCAATTGGCACTGAGATGAATACTAAGGGATGTATGCCACAACTCACCTCCATAAATTTTTGAACGTTTTCGTTGTAAGCATGTACCGTTGCACCCCACTCGAACATACTTTTGGCATATTCCTTCGCCGCACGACCATCATGAGCTTCCTTCCTTAAGCGTTCCTCTTCCTCTTGACGTTGACGCCTAGCTGGTGCTCCATTAGCATGGCTGCTCCTCAACTCAGGTAGGGCCTCGTTGTCATTAATGACCCCATTGAATATAGCCCATTTACCATGTGGACGACCACAAGAGCATCGGTAAAGAGCTCTAGCATCTACCAGAGAGTGCAGCCAATCAAAATAAGGTCTATTCAACTCAACAACCTTAAGTTTGTATTTCTCCTGTCAATTAAATAAATTGATTAGTCAATATTTGCAAAATAAGTGGCAGCAAAGAACAATTGGATGTAATAACTAGGAATTACCAAGCATGAAGAGGCTTCTTCGGTGTTCAATGAACTAATATCTTCAGGATTGGAACCTCTATGGGAATGGACCCATGCCTCAATATCAGACACTTCTCTTCCTAATTTTTTAGACTATAGGAAAACAATCTCAAATTATTTGTGTAGTGCCACAAAACTGAATCTAACATAATTCAGTAAGTGAAAACTAACCAACTTTTGGTGTATTGTTGCAATAGAGTTTGATCCTTCTTTGTGAGGTTTAAATTTCTGGCTATAGCGATTTGCACGATTTGTCTCAGATCTTTGCTTGAATTCAGGGCTACTCCATTCCATGGCTAAAGCCTCCCAGCATCTTTCTAGTAACCATTCAGGGCGTTGAGCAATGTACTCCTCCCGTGTCAAATAGAACTTTCCAGCAATCTTGTCACAAATTTTTCTTTTTTCTACTATCCGGAAATGATCCATTGTAGTAGTAATTCTTGCATAATACATGATGCTATATAGGAGTTGTGAGCAGGAAGAACCAACATAGTTTTTGGACTCATTTTCTTTAGATGGATTGAATCTAAATCTTTTCTATAGAAATTATTAAATATAAGTACACACCAGCAGTAAAGCATATGAAAAATGATCTATATGGAGATGTACTGAACTACAGAACCAATAAATGATGGACCAATCAGCTGAACTACTAAACTGGTAATTATTAAATATACATGTTGCTATATAGGGGAATATGTACTGAATTACTGAACTACAGAAAAATGATCTATATGGAAACAAAGAATTACCCAAAAACCTTCAGATACCACATCAGCTGCGGATTTCCCAGCTGTGTCCGTTGCTGCCTGATAATATTTCCATGTCGATGACACCACAACCTTGCCTCCATATTTAATCAAACCAGGATGATTTCTCTTCAGTAGAACGGTCAAAACACTTGTAGGAGTCCTTCCCTTTACATTAGTCCAATGCCTTGGAATATAAACAAAAAATCAATAAACAAATATCATATGAGAAAAGATTTTCACCAGAATGACAATTTGAATTTTAAGAACCCACGATTTTCCTTCTGGCTCAATCAGTGGACGATCTTGCTCATTGTTGATTTCAGGGGGCATATCTGCACATCCTCTCAAGCAGATTTCTTCTATAGCCACATTAACCTCACTTGGATCATCAATGTCATTGTGACTGGAAAACCCTGCCCTCACTATGAACTAAAATGTTAGAAGACCGACGTGTCCTGTGTGAGATTGTCATCCCTAAAAATAAGATATGGTAGGCATTAGCAATTGAATGGAAAGCAACAGATTAAGAACTCAAAATTAATGTAGCAATACAGTTCTCAAAAGTAAACTTGCAATGAAATGCTTATTAATCAAGAGTTAGAACTACCTAATTATTACTTATCCTCTTAAAAGTTATCAGGATCTAGGTATTCTTCTTCTGTGATATCATGAAAATATTATGTGTTAAATAGCCCTGGTTCTTCAATTGGTAGTTCATCATCAACACTCAATCCACTTCGCTGCTTGATCAGCATAGAGATTTCATTTGGATCATCAATCTCATCAAAGCCATCACTAATGGTGATATTGTCTAAACCTACTCCAATATCTACGACAAATTCACCAACTACACCATCTTCTTGGAAGGTATCAATAGATGGTTGGCCTTCATCATTGTACTCATCCATTGATGGAGTAGACAAGTTTCCATGGGGGCTCACCTTGTATGCAACCCACCAGCCATCAAGGCTCGGGTCAGACTTACATGGATAAGGAAGATAATAAACCTGCTTTACTTGGCTGGAGAGAATAAAAGACTCATTTGTTGGATTACATGATGCATGGGCAACTTCAACTAATCCAAACCTTCCCAAGTGTCTCACTCCATTAGTTGGGTGGAACCAGTGACACTCAAACAAAACAAGATTGAATTCACTATCACCATCAAACTTCAGCTCAATTATGTCCTTGATGATACCATAATAATCAAGCTCATTGTTGATGTCATCATCAAAACCAGCAACAACAACCCCTGTGTTGGTGTAGTTAAATTCCCTCTAGATTTTTCATACTTTTTAGATATAAATCTATACCCATTAACTTCATAAATATCATATGACTTGACTTTGAGGCCACATCCATGCGATAAATGACGCAGTTCACTAGGTACTTGCATCAATGTCACACTGCAATGTTATAATTAAAATGAAAGTGCAATTCAAATTTTATAAGAATGTATATAAATTGTGCAGCTCACTAGTACCAGGTTTCTAAACCAATCCAGCAGATCAGGTTTCCCATTTCCAACCCCATTCATCCTTAGATTGTCTAGTTGCTCTTGATTTGGTGGTCTTGCACATCTCCATTGTTCTTGTTTAAATTTTCTACATATTATAACATAGAATCATAAAATGTGTGTATGATAAATGTTACTATGTACAATTATCATACTAAGTGTACTTACTGTAACAGAACCGACCAATTATACGAAATTAAGTAAGAAAATCATCCGTCAGAGCAGACGACTTAGCAAACTTAAGCCCATATAACTCGGTAGTCCGTGAAATCACGAAGGATTTCAAACCAACTCACATCCCAGCCAAGATCATAATAAGTTTAGCGGTCACCATCACATATTACATAAAAGTTTGCATCTCAGATACATCAGAGTTTAAACATAGTTATTACAAAACGAGTTCGAATAAAAGTAGCGGAAGCTATTTGTTCAAAACCACACACACTCACACGGAGTTCAAATACAGTGCCAGCTAATGATCATCTCCAACAAAAGCATCAGACGAGACGTAAGGAATGACCATGCCCATGGTCCTAAGCATCATCCATCGTAGGATAAAAGGCGGTTGATCTGAGAGTCGTAATACATCCGCGCAACAATTGGGAATAAAACCCCGATTACGAAAAGGTACTCACTAGACTTACACATAACCAAGAAAATAAAGTGGCACCAAGCATTATGAATTGGGAATCATTTGCAAAAAAGGCATTTTAGTATTTCAAGAATATTTACGAAAGCATTATTGTCAAGTTACTTATTATTAACTTGTCGACTACATTAGCACCTATACTAGAGCAAGCACATAGTAAATAAATAAAAGTGGCAACCATAAGCATTATGAAGGGCTACGATGAAGTATAGTAGGGTAATCGATTCCTAACCACGATTGGTGATTTATTGACAAACCTCATTAAAGTGAGTCAACTATCCAGAAGCTCGAAAAAGAGGCATTTTAGTATTTCAAGCTAACCTAATATTTATGAGATAGGTAGCTACTCCAAGTGATTATTGATCATGACAATGGTGATACTTATTATTAATAAAATGTAGGAGCCATTTTGTTTTAGTGATCAAGACATTAGTGAGTGTGATCACATTTAGGACTATACTATTAAGAGGAGTGCAAGAAATGCGGTTATCAAAGTGCCATTAAGCTCTAACTCAAATGCATTTAATGTGGAGTGCTAACCAAAAATATTTTGAAAATACAACACATTGCACAAGGTGTTTGCGGGGTTGAGATGTGGCGCTTTTGGAAAAATGAAATGTCTATTTTTATGGGATGCAAAATTCTTATTGGTTGGCACATTTGAGCAAGGGTGAAGAATGAAATGCAAAATTCCAAGTGTTCCATCAACATTACTAGAGTTGAAATGGAAGTCACTCAAGTCAAGTGCTCACTATCCAAGAGCGATAGCTGAAGGTCGCTGCGAATCGATTCGACGCAACCTAACCGGTCCAGGTGGGTGATTTATTCTCGAAACACAAACCTCACGTCGGTCGCAACCGTAGCCGTTGAAATCGACAAACAACGTTTGAAGTCGCTAAAGCCAGCGTCCGATCGATATGACCGAGCGCGTCCGGTCAGGGCGTGTTTTGCTTGATGAAGGGTACAACGGCGGCTCTATTTGATGGGGGCTCAAGCCCTATCTCAAGGAAACTCTTGCATTTTCATTGACATAGCAACCTTGTGAGCTTAGCCAAAGCCCTCCCACTCATCTCCATCATTGATCCATCATCATTGTGAGATTGGGAGAGAATCCAAGTGCATTGCTTGAGTGATTGCATCTAGTGGCACTTGGTATTTGTGTTCATACATGGATTTCGCTTGTTTCTCTTGGTGGTTGCCACCACCCAGACAGTTGGAGCAGCGGTGAAGGATCGGCACGAGTTGGTGATTGTTCGTGGCGCCACCGGTGATTGTGAGGGAGTTGTACCTTCCCGGCGGAGTGCCGAAAGGTAACTCTAGTAAATTGCTCGTGTCATTGAGTTACCTCACTTGTGGGTCGGTTCTTGCGGTGTCCTATCGTGTGGGCGAGGTTTGTGAAACACCTCTTAGCAGCCGAACCACCAAGTGTTGGTCGATTAATAACGGGACTAAGCGTGTTGGCAAAACGTAAACCTCGGGAGAAAAATTGGTTGTCTCTTGTCATTTGCATTCTCCGGTGATTGGCTATATATTCATCGTGTAATTGGTTCACTCCACGACCGGCGGTATAATCGCCTCACTTACTCATTTACATTTCCATAAACTAGATATAGCAAGCTCTTTAGTGTAATTAGAATTGAGAGCTTGCCTTGTGCTTTAAACATATCTAGTGGAGCTCTTTAGTGTAGCTTTTGTGAGAGCTCTTAGTGAGTAGTGGTCAAGTAGATTTGTGCAAATAGATCATTGCAACTAGAATTGTTGGATAGGTGGCTTGCAACCCTTGTGAGAGCTAGAGCAAGTTTGCATTTGCTATTTGTCTTACTAATCAAATTGCTCTAGTTGATTTGTAGTTTTCAATATATTCATTTTGAGCCATATTAGGACCTTTTTTTGAAAATGTCCCAAAAATAAAAATTGCTGAAAGGAGAATTTATTTTTCTCAATTTCTATTTTAAGAAATTTTCAAATACCAGGTGTCAAATATCATTTTGAGCAAGAAAATGACATCTTTTGAAAATGTCCCAAAAATAAAAATTGCTTAGAATTTAATCCTCTATAACTTTGCTTTTATGACCAAAGTCCAATTCTTGCTAGATTTTGAATTATAAAATAAAAGTCAATTTTAACTCAAAACCCTAATTTTGGAGAGTTATTTTTAAAGCAAAATTTGACAATAACTTGAATACAAAATTTGCTCCAAAAATTGTGCTAAATAATTCTAGGTGATTTACAATCATAGCCAAACATGTTTTACTAACCTAGCAAGCATAATTTGGGCAAACACAACTCTAAACAAGTGTATGCAACATTCATGTTTCACGAGCATGTTTCAAATGTTTCGAAGCAGGGTTTCAGTTATTATTTACATGATTAGGCATGTATGATTAGGATGCTTGATGATGCATAATATGCATGATTTGCAGTGCCTAAATGCTGGTCATAACACCGGAGTGTTACACTTACTGCACATATTCATCCATTTGAGTCAAGTTTGTGAAGATATATATCA